GTCACATAAATTTGACACATCAGTTCTTTCTCGATTGGCACTCGGTCCCACTTCCCATCAGCTGGGGATCTTCTTTACTTCAGCTTTGCATAAGCCATTCTAAACAAGTTTGAATTTGATGAATAACTTGGTTATCTGTTCCTATTGCTAAATGTCTATGGTATTTGTGCTTGGCACCAAATTCATTAATCTAAATACTCCAGCCTTCTGCTGGTTAAGAGAGAGACACAGACTTACTGTTAGTTCAAACACTTGCCATTTGGTGCCTAAATGGTTCCAAGCTGGTTCTTCTCCCAAGAACTTACTGGAATGGGGAGAGGTAAACGATAGGTTGTCTGTTCTTCATGACAGGAACCTGGTTGAGTCTTGGTATGAGTACCCAAATGCTGTTTTACAACAAGAGGTTATAAATGTTTTTTAAGGTGTGGTTTCAGGTATACAATATTATTGCTGGGGAATATTACTGAAGAATTTCACGCTGACCTTAAAACACAAAACTGCCACTCTTGAAATAACATTTCACACTTGTGCAGCAACATATTTACCTGGCAAATCCAGAAATATTACAGACGAGGCTCCTCAGAGTCAGGCGTGGGCAAGGCCAATTAGTTACAGAGCCAATATTATTTAACTGAATCCCTAGGGTCATGGGACTGTGAAGCTGGGAGACCACCCCCCTGCCCAGGGCAGCCAGGCCATGATTCTGCAGATTAAGAAGCTGAGAGTCCAGAGATAGGACAGATCACCCAGGAGCCACAGAGTTAAAGCCACCCCATATCCCAAGACTCTCTGCATGTCCACTGCAATGTCTAGAATGTCTCAACGCTGACAATTAAGCAATTCAAAATGCTGTGGCTTTTGTACACGTCTTTATAGGCAGAAGAATTTGCAAGCTTTCAGAGCAGATAGTAGCTGTGCTCCAGAGTCTCAGATGAGAGGCTCAAGAAGCGGGGCGGGGTGAGACTTTCACATATGAAACTCCATTTTATACACGAGCCTATAATCCCAGTAGGGAGAAATGGGAGAAGTATCAAAAAAAAAAAAGAAATTGGCTGCTCTAGGAGCTTACTGAGAAACTCAGAGGTCAAGAAGGAGAGGTGCGAAAAGAGGGAAGGAGGCTTTCAACCAAACACCAGGGAAACGAGCCCCCAGAAACTGTTAGCAGGTCACCAGGGAGGCTCCAACCAGGAGGCTGGGGGAACACAAAGGGAGTCCTGGCTTCTGTTCAGAGCAAGGGGATGAGTGCGTGGATGGAGTAGGGTTAATAGAGGCAGAGAGAAGACCAAGCATTTCTGTGCCTGGGAAGGAGCTGGTGAGCTCATCAAAGGTGACGTGACAGCCAAGAGTCACCCAGACCTGCCACCAAGCCAGCCAGGTGACCTCAGGCAGGTTACTTGCATTCTGCAATGTAATTTGTGATAAGTGTGAGTTGTCTGACTTCTGAATGAGAAGGGACAGAATAACGATCTTTAAACAAAATTGAAGGAAGTCCTAGTGAGGATGTAGATTTTTGAAGGCTTCTGGGCATCCCTCACACAGACTACTTTTCATCTAATTCTGTCAGTGCATACATCTGTACATTCCTTTTGGCTGGTGAACTCGGTTCTTCTCTGACTGCTTAGCTCCTGACATGATGGAGGGTTCATAGGACTATTTAACTGAAAGAGAAAATAAAGTAAGAAATACTTACTGGGGAGGGGAGCAGGCAAGAGGTGGCCAATAGTTTTTGGTAAACTAATAGCCAGCTAGCTTAATTGATTGATTGACTGATTGATTTTAGATGTGTTTTTATCTGTCCTGGGACCACCTGGAGGGAAGGGAGCAGTGATAATTAAAGATGGCAGTGATACTTGGTGGCCAAAATGTTCTTCCGCACCAGGCCTGCACCCAAGGATGTACATACACGCTGGCCCCTCTGCCCACAAAGGGAGCCCACCCATCTAGGAAGGGCCACTTTTAATAGCTACTTTGAGAGAATATACACTACAAAATAATATCACCAAGCGCTTTTTAACGTCCCAATTAACTAGACAAAACACAACGTACATTCTGAAAAGAGACCATGAAACCGGACCAATCTGTTAGCATTCTTTGAGGAGGTAGACGCAGGCCTGGAGACGAAGGAGAAACCCAAGGATGAATTATGTTTAGACATCCAAAATTCCTTCTGACAAAGTTCCACCCCCAAGGTCATTTATGATAGTAAGTTGTTCCAGAGTGTGAGGGAAATTGCCACAGATCGGAATTGTCCTTAAAGACAGGAAACAAAAAAATAGGATAAACAGGTACTTTTCCAGATGAAGAATTATAAACAGTGGGGATCCCCAAGGCTTACTGGTGCTCCCAGACTTAGTTTTAAATGTTCATATTTCATCTGGAGGAGAGAAAGTTCAGATGATTCCAGGCCTGCGGATGAAATGAGGGCTCTGTAGAGAGATGGCAAACAAATGGAGATTAACTGCGGGACAGGGTTAGGCGTTAGCAAGAAAAATGCATATTAAGCTTTTGCAGGGGCAAGCCTCAGTTAATGCATTTAGGAGAACATAATCCAACTTACAATAAAATAGACTCTGTCCAGTCTGTTTATAGTCACAGAAAGGGATCATGGGGGTCTTTTCAAAATGTTGGCTAAAGGCCGTCAGGACCAAGTGTTCAGAAAAAATGCAAGAGAAAGTCTCTACCCTGAGGCCCAGGCTACAACCTAGGGGAGAATGCATGACAGGAGCTGTCTGTCTGAAGTCAGCTACAATTTGAGTGACATGAGTTTCTATGGCGAAAAAGTGCTGAGTTCCAAAACCCAACATTTCAAGAATTTCTTATTCTAGCAAAGAATTGGAGAGCTGTCAACAAGCTGGTTGGTTTGGCCAGTATAGACAGATTCCTCCAGGTCAACACAACCCCATCATACTCCTCTGTTTGGGGATAGATTTCTCTTGATAGTCTAAACTGTGTAAAGGCCAAATCTCTACTTTCGTTATGTCCAAATTCAGCCTCACACATTTCTCCTTGTGAGAAAAAAGCCCTTGGCATCCCTTTCCCAAATGGCAAAGCTTCTGCCATGAGAACTGGGTCTCCTCCCCAAATGGTGGCCAATCCCCTGGCAGAAACACTTGGGGGGAGAAGAGGGTCCCGTGGCCCAGTGCCCCTCCCAAATTGTATTACCAACCTTCCCCTTACAGATGGAGGGACTGAGGTGTAGAGGCCAGACGTCCTGCTGTCGAAGGTCCACTCTTGGACCAGGACAGCCTGGAAGGGGCTGCATTCGGGTCTTCTGAAGCGACACAGCCTCTCTGCTGTGTTCCTGGACCTGGAGATGCTGCAGCAGCGGTGGTGGTGACTTCACTGGTGGGAATGCTAACGGGTCCCTTCTCTCTCATTAGCGGGAGGCTTTAGAACAACTTGTGAAAGGCAAAATCCAGCAAATGGTGTTAATTGGTGGACCTTGAAGGTGCCTCTGTGCAGTCTGGCTCTGTGCCCTGCCTCAGTGTGCCAGGGCTGTCCTGAGGTTCTGAAGAATAACTTGTTGGGTCTGTCCCAGGAACGAGACAAGCTTGAGAGGAAAGTTATTTGAGACCTGGATTTTGAGGTAGTGGGCTTTCACTGGACAAACCTGTAGCATTTCGCAAACTGGGGAATGATAATTAGAGCCTGTTGGACTGAGGCCTAAATATTTGAGGAAAATAGGTTGGCACCCCAACTGCAAAGACAGATGAGCAGTTGCTATTGTGGCTTTTTGTCCTGAGGGAACAACAGCTTCCTCTTGCTGCGTGGCACAGCTGGCTGAGGCCTTAGTCCCCTTTCTTACCTGTTTTCTAGCAGCCAGATTCAGAAGTATTTGTGTCTTCGCAGACTCAGGGCTTTCTTCCCTTGCCCAAGCTCGCTCCCCCAGAGCAAGCCTCCCTTCCCGGGGAGGGGGGAGCCCCACAGCGTGTGTGGCCTTCGGCAAGTGAGGACTGCGATAGTGCTGAAGAGAAACATCTAAATTGGATAAAAACTCTGAATTTTTTTCCAAAGAACCAGATGAGTAGGCTTGGAAGTGAGGTGAGGGGGCCAAGGGAGGAATTGGTTTGACTAAAAACACTTGCTCTGGTCTATTTGTGTTCCATCCAAAAGATGTTTCTCAGGGGAAGCTGCCAGTCTCTTAAATATCCCGAGAGCAGCGGCTGAAGAGCTGCAGGGCCTAGGGAATCTTGAGCAGGAGACCTTTTTCTCCTGGAAAAATAAGTGACCGAGTGAAGGGAAGTCACCACCCCGATGGCTTCCCAAGATCGGCCTCGGAGGCAGGGCCCTGAGCACAGCGGGGACCCCTGTACCCACACCTCCTCCGGGGAGGCCGCCGTCCTCCTGCCGCCTCCCACAGGCTCGCGGGCCCCCAGCTCGGGAGCGCAGCCAGGGCAAGTCCTGGGACGCAGCGCGGTACTTGGAGGGGATGCTGGAGGCGGCCGAACCCCGGCAGGGTGGGCGGCCCGGGGCCACGGCGGGAGGGCCTCGAGTGCGCTCGCGGCTGAGGTCCAGCGGGACCCAACTCCGGACAACCGGGAAGGGGATTTTCGGCCTCTGGCACCGAAGACACATCTGAGTGAGAGATGTCGCTGGAGGCTTCGGCACGGCAGTCTAGTTGGAAAGGGGACTTGGGGTTTGTCTCCAGGCACAGTCTCTCCTTGGGTTGAATATTTACAGGGAAGATTAGGGGGCGCGCTGCCGCCCTTGTCCTCTGCAGGTCTGGCCGGCCTGGGGGACTCGGTCCTTTCTACGTGGGGAGCCGCGGGGCGACCTGCGTCCCGGGGTTCCCGAGGTCCCCGCGGCCCGCCCGCAGCCGGGGCCCCCCAGCTCCCCGC